AAAAACAAGCAGTATTGCTTCTGCTAGTTTATAAAACTCAGCTCACTACCACAATCTACTATTATTCAAACACTGACTAAAAGAATGAACACCACCCCCCCAAAAGGCTAAAAGCATTGATTTTTTATTTAGATGAAAAAGATATAAAATGTTAATGACAAGCAATCTTAATTTTACTATTTCAATTTGTAAGATGTTGCTTGCTGAAAATTCTCATTCACTAAAATGATAAATAAGATCTGTTATGAAACGATATTTTTGTAACTGAAAGATGAGCTATTTTCCTGACCTATTTTTTTTTTTTTTAGGAGTACTTATGGAAGAACAAGCTCATCAGGTCTTCTGCTAAATAAAACCTTGAAGATGTAGGAAGACTAGGCGAACTCTTCCTATGAGTTACTTAAGATTCAGGAAAGTAGGCTGCACTGTTTGAATAGTGTCCCCATAAAAAGTCATGTTATTTCCAGAACCCCAGAATGTGACTTTACTTATAGGGTCACTGCAGGTGTAATTAGTTCAGATGAGGTCATACTGGAGTAGAGTGGGCCCTACATCCAATATCACTGATGTCTTTCTAGGAAGAGGGGAAGAGACACAGAGACTGGCAAAAAGGGAAGGCAGCCGTGTGAAGACAGAAGCAGAGACTGGAGAGATACAGGCATCTGTAAGCGAAGGGAGATGACTGCTGGCTACTACCAGAAACTATCGCAGGAGCGCCCAGCAGATTCTCTCTCCAGTAGGAACCAGCGTGCTGACATTTCATTTCGTTTCATTTCAGACTTCTACCCCACAGAAATGTGAGATGATGATTTGCTATAGGTTAAGCCACACAGTTTGTGATGTGTTATGTCAGTCCTAGAAAACGAATATAAAGTCCTAAAGAGTTTTAATAAAAGTGATAGGAATTAAAAATCACAGACAAGACTGACGGGACCTTCTAGCACTCTTACACTTCTGCAATGTCTGTTGTTGATCTTCTGGTCTTTCCTGTTTTTCAGTTGTGATTGGCCAAAGGCCCTTGAAAGAACAAAGAATCTCAAACAACAAAAACAAAGCTGTGTACTTGTTTAGGGAGGCAGCATAGAATGGAAAGCCAGGAGGGCTGTGTTTTACAAGATGAAGAGAAGTTTGCAGCAATGATTAAAAAAAGGGAAATTGGCGTGGTCCTGTGTACCTCTGAATTCAGAAAACATGACGCAAAACCTAAGTATATATTAGTGCTCAATATATAGTTGTTGAATAAATGGATGAATTAGACAAATAAATGGATGAATTAGACAATAAATGAAGTGATTAAATAATCAATCTGTGGAAGAAGAAGCAACACAAATGAGTAGACAGCAGTGGAAAAGTTTGACTGAAAATTGAGATTGAAGATCACTCATTTTTTTCAGGCAACAATTTCAGCATTTACAATTTGCCAGGTATTGTTGTTGGTGCTTGGGGTAATGAAAGAGCAAAGCAAAGTCTTGCTGTCACAGACCACACGCGCTCAGAGTTTAGTAGAAAGGGGATAGGAGAAATCAGAGTTTGTGTGATTTTTTTTTTTTTTTATGGTAATACAGTTGGAGTTGAGTAGCCTAGAAAGAAAGCAAGGGGAATTGATTGGCTTAAAATATCTTCCCCCTTCTATGGAAAGAGCAGAGAAAGGTCTAGTCTCTGGATATAGGCAACTAGACAGTCACTTTTCCTATATTCCTTTATCCCTCCGCCAGCCCCTCAAAATGTGTAATCAGTCCCTTCCTGAGCAAAAAGGGAAAGAATGTCCCTTCTCTCTGGGATTTTATACCTATCCCTAAGAAAAGCTGCTTTTATGCATATTTGGACACATGGCACAATCGGGTGAGTATGAATTTGATTTGTGTAGTCGGAAAAGTAACACAGGATGGGGCACTTTCGACACCAAATGATTATTGAACAGGTACTAAGGTAAAGCCTCTATGCAAAACACTAAACTACATGGTGGTGAGCTCTGGAAATTCTCTAATGAAAGAAACATACTGTGATCTTCCTAGTGAGTCTGGATAAAATTGGAAAAATGTATCTGTACAGGATACATTTGTGTGAAAAATGACGGTCCTTCTATGTTGAACTGCAGCTGTATTTTGGGAGGTTATTCTGTCTCAGCTCAAATTAAAGTTGAGTTTCTCGTGAGCTGCCTGTGGCTTAAAGTCAGTTATTCAACTGGATGGTCAGAAATGACCAGGAAATCAAACATATTTCACAGTATTAACTATCACTATAGCCTGTTAAGTAATACTGCAGAGTAGTGGTCTTTTGAAAATTATTTTGAATGTTAGATTCTATTCCGGTTTGGAGCAAGAGGTAAAATATAAGCAGTTAAATGGATTTTTAATGAAATTTTACAAGCAAAAGAATTAATGCCCAAGGTACAGAATTATTAATTCTGGAAATGATTCTCATAGTCCTCTATTATTTTTAAATCTATGTGGCTATTTTTAGGAATTATAATTGCTCTGATAAATGACAGGTACCTATATCAAAAATTATGTTTTTCTCATAATTATTATTAAAATATTTATTAACTAGACTTTTTCAACTCAGTCTTTTTATGTTTTCAAATGCTTCATGACTAAGTTTTAAAAATCTTTTTAGTTTATAATGTTTATGTTTCGTTCATTTTGATGTGATTGGCATTTAAGTGGAGTTATTTGTGTAACCAACATATTTTAGGTATTTAACCCAGAAGTAAATCATCAGTTAATCTACACTTGAGGAAATATGATTCAGGGAGGAGGGAGAGATTGCATCTGATGGACTGCACTGAAGCTTGGGTGTCATGGGCTTGATGGTCATAATGACTTCAGGAACAACAAGCCACAAGACTGACCTCCCAGATCTCAGAGCTGGCAGGAGTATGGTTTTAAGTTCTGTCTGTGGGAGTTCTCAGCTTCTTACATAAAAGGCTGCTTTATGCAAAAGGGGCCTGGAAGGAGCTCAGGCTCCAGGTTAGAGGGGAAGCGGGGCAGGCAGACAAGGAAAAGTAGGGTAAGGGTGATGTAGCTCCTCGGCTAACTTGTGGGAACTAACAGGTTTCATCAGAACGTTACTGATGATTTCTCAGAATAATTTGTAGAGAATGATTGTAAGTAGTAGAAGGATATTAAAACATTCACGGGTGCTGACAGGAGCCCTGGCAGTTTGGGGTATGGGAGCTCCCCAGGGGTCCAGGGCAGCAACCAGACACAGAGGCAGTGACTAGACCAGCCAAGGTGCAAATGTCTGGGGCCCGCCAGGGAACATCACTCAATGAAAACACTGGGGTGTAAGGAAATAAGGAATAACTGGGACTGTGGCTGACCAAAGATTTCATGCCCTGTTTACAGCCATTCACCAGATTTAGAATGAGGTAAAGGAAGGCTTCTTTTTTTTTTTTTTTACACCCACCTCCCTTTTTTTACACCCACATAATAAATCACCTGGAGGGAGAATTAGGTCTGTTAACCTCCCTTCTTTTATTACCTAATATGTAACTTAGGAAAAAAAGAAAGAAAAAACCCCAAGACCAATATGTTTTGGTATAAATGAATGTTTTGTAAGGGGAAGGGGAAGGCATCATTTTCATTTTCTATAAAAATACCTCTGGGCAAAAATATTTTTTTGTTTATTTCAGAATATTACAAAAAAAGTAAGCAAACTAATTATTGTATCCTCACCTGACTACATTGGGTCTATTTAAAAATTCAGAAGATAAACATCAGGAAATGCCTTTATCCTCTCAGTATTTAAAGGTGAGAGGGAAAAAAAAAAAAAAAAGAATAAGTGAGAAATTCTAGGGCCTGGACATTGCCAGGCTAATTTCTAGACAAGTGAGTTTTGATAAGTTCAGGTTTCAGATAAGGATTCTTTTTTTCCTCTTCTCATGTTGGTTTTTCTGAATGGTGAGTAAAAATGTTCCTGAAAGGGCCTGAAAAAAATAGATCGTGTCAATGTGGAGAATTACTGATGCAAGATTTTAGTAAATTAACATAAGAGTGGCACCCTACAATGAATATTATTTGGAGTTGATTTAATAATCCCCTCTCTTATAGAAACCCATTTCTAAATGTAGGTGTGTGTCTGTATGCATTAAGAAAGATTAGTGCAGAGTTCTTAGTTTATCTTCATGGCAAACACACAAAATAAATGTGAATAATTGAAGCCATTACACACACACTTTTGCTCTACAATCCTCTAAGTGAATAGTACAGTAAAAACAATAGCAACATCCTACCTTTTGCCTTAAACATAATGGATAATATTAACATATTGAACTTTTTTAATGAGAAAAGATTAGATTTCAAACTGCCTCAAAGATTCGTGAAGTAATATTTTTAGCCTCAATCACTCAGATAATTTCTAAAGCAATTCTTCCCTTTACTTTGTTTACACGGATACAGCCTTTGATTGAAATAATTTAGTTGTTGATCAATCCAGTATATTTTTACCTTCCCACATCACAGCACGCCATGGAATAAAAATGTACCTTTTGGTTCTCAAATGTACCAAACACATTTTCTGTGGTCAAGTCCCTTTCTTCTAAATTTGTTTGGAGGACCTCATAGGACATAAAGCCTCTGACAAGGGAAGCATTTTAGCACCAACACTACAAAAGCTTCTGTGTTCATATGGGAAATATCTTCCCCTGAATTAAATTTAACCTCTTTAGTACTCCCATTTAGCCACCTGATAAATCCACTTGAGCTATCTTTTGGGGAGAGAGGGGGACATGGGAACAATAACACTTCCTTTTTGAACAGTTTAATAAAGCTTTGTGAGATTTCAAGATGAAAGATAATGTGTAATTCTGATAGTACCCTCCAAAGCTCTGCATTCATGGATCCAATTACGTTTTTTGTCATGGTAAAAGCCACAGTGGCGATATTAAATGGGAGTGTGGCTTAAGAATTAAGGCCCTGGAGTCCGGATATCTGGTTTCTAAAGTTGACTTAATTTCTGCTTTCTTATCTAACTATGGGTATGCAGCTTAATGTCTTTACCCCCATGTCTCCCTCCATAAAATGCCTAGCAAATATCTGAGAAATACTTTTAAAATGACAGTGCAAATTGCCATTTAGAATCATCTTAGAAGGTCTAGGAAAAAATGAGGTGAGTGTTAGAAAAGGGAAATACAATCTTCTGCTTAATTTTAAATTTATCATAAAGTTTTTCTTTGGCTTTTTAAAAGTCATAAGATTTCTAGAAGAGGAATGACATTTTCAAAGCCTTAAGGACACTTGTGGAAAAAAAATGCTCTTTTAAATTATTCTTTATTTCTCAAGATTTTGACTCTGGCTTTTCTCCAGCTTTCTCTCTTTCCTCTTTCTCAATTCCAAGTTGAAAGGAGTAATTGTCATGTTAACACTTCCGGTTTTAGAGTATTTTGTTTTAGCTTGTTTGTTTCATATAATTTTTATAAATGTATGCATGTCAGATTTTATTTCCTCATATACACGATTACTGACTTCAGATGTTCAGTCCCGAAACCTTCAAATTCATTCATTTATGTATGAAATAATTGATTCTAAATTTGTAGCACTATCTGATTTTATCTGGAGATTCAAGCTGATAGAACATTGTCATTTATTGACTTACCTATTATCCTTTGTATTGAGGCAATCATAAAGTAGCTGAATTGTGATCTTTGATGGTCATCAAACTACCATACTCTTAAAATATACATACACATATATTTCTGGTAATAAGCAGTGTTCTGAGTATCAGTCTTTTGAAAAATGTTTAACAAGCTAGAATAATTTCTCTCTTCCCATACAATTCCTGCAACTATATGGTTTAGGTATGTTTTAAGGACTATGGTGAAACATCACAGCCCCATTGACATTTTTTCTCAATAAATCAAAGATTTATTCAGTATGAATAATTAATTTAATTACCTATAGTAATAAAGGTTATCATGGAAACCTTTATAATCTAATGAGTTATCATAGAAATAGTCAATGCAAGTAAATAATATATATATGTATATATATATATATATATATTTTTTTTTTTTTAATTAGACCATCTGTTGTAGAATTGTAAATTCTAATCCTAACTCTTTGGCAAGATAAACTTCTAGAATGAATGCTTTTTCCAGGATTTTACCTACAATGTATTCTTACCTAACTTCTTGTTCTATAGGAAATTTTGGTAGAAAAGTTGCAGAAATTAGTTTCACTTTAGAGATATGAGAATTTATTTAAGTAGCTTTCCTGTAGGATAAAGATTAGGTAGCTCTGATTAGAATTCTAGAATGAAAATGAGTTGAAATAACCTCTTGCAGAACTCTTCTAAATTTAACTTTGCTTCAAACCAATAAACTATAGCCTCTACTACTTTGTAGACAGATTATAGCTCATCAGGATGACTAAAAATCACTGTGAAATTGCTCTGTAATAGTTCTGTTGCTATGCCTATAAATATAATATCACTGAGTGACTTTGCCATTTTTTAGCTGTTCAGCCATACTTTTTTCTGTGACAGAGAACTTCAGAAATACCGTAAATGACCCATTAAAATAGCCTCTGTTCTAATATGAAAAATTAACATTACATTATCAAGTTAAATAATTAATAGATTATTGAATTTCAGAACTATTTTTGAAATCATATTTTACAATCATTTTAACTTAATTTATTTTTTCTACCAGTGTATAAAGGTAAAATAAAATTATTTGAATTTCACTTATGTTCTGCAAATCCTAAGCTATAACAAATAAAAGCATTATTTGGGGAGAGAAAGTAGTATGAAGATACCTCAAAGAACAAAAAGTAAAATTACCATTTCATCCAGCAATCCCACTGCTGGATATTTACCCAAAGGAAAAAAAAATATGAAAAAAACACAAAAAAACCTGTACTTGAATGTTTACAACAACACAATTCACAATTGCAAAAATGTGGAAACAACCCAAGTGTCCATCAGTATATGAGTGGATTAATAAAATGTGGCATATGTATACTATGGAGTTCTACTCAGCAAAAATAAATAAATAAATAATTGTGAACTAATACCTGTTGTATTAACCTGGATGGAGCTGGAGACCATTCTTTTAAGTGAAGTATCACAAGAATGGAAAAATAAACACCACATGTACTCACCATCAAATTGAAAGTAATCAGTCAACACCTATGTGCACATATGAAAATAACATTCACCGGAAATGAAGCAGGTGGGAGTGGGGTGGAGGAGATGGGTAAATTCACACCTAACAGGTACAATGTGCACTATCTGGGGGATGGGCATACTTATAACTTTGACTCAAAAGGTACAAAAGCAATTTATGTAACTAAAACGTTTATGCCCCCATAATATTCTGAAACTAAAAAAATACTCAATAAATAAATAAAAAGGCTGTCGTAAGGGATAATAAAAAGATAGGTAGAATCAGATGTTGCAGCTGGGCAGAGGTGGAGTATTAAGTGGTCAAACAGTTGAAAACTGGGAAACATCTTTAAGTATTTATATTTAAAACATACACACAGACACATACACATTAGAGTAGACAGTCTGAAACTCACACTTTTCCTTTATGATGTTATTACTGTGTATGGACAAGCTTATTTTCCAAATATTCCCCCCATCTGAATATAATGTTGTTCTCAAAGTATGGCAAAACATCACCATCACCCAGGATGCTTGATGCAGGTGGAGATTTTTGGAATGATCCAGATTTATTGGTGATGTGGAGACTTGTGATCTGCAAATTTAACACTTTATTAAGCAATTCTTCCAAGAAATAAAACTCAAAAACAACTACTAGAGGTTGATGAGAAAATATGAAGAAGCCAGTGAATATCTATTTTTTAAAAAGAGTTTTAAAGTAGATATCATGTTCTAGAGAAATGAAGAATTTTAAGCTAGAAAAAAAATTGAAATAGAGTTTAATCTAACACTAAATGGTTCAAAGAAGCTGTTTTCATAAGGTCCAGGATTTAAAAAGTGTTTAGCTTTCTCATGATTATAAAGCTTAAAATAAAGTAGGTATATTCTCTGTGTGGGGATGAAATGCAGAGTAAATGACTCAAAGACATCACCATCTGTAAATGCTTCTTTGGCATTTAAAATAAATGTCTCTATGTCCTTCCTTCCAGCTGTTCCTCCTCCCTTCTCTCTACTCCTGCCTTCCCTTCTTTCCTTCTTCCTTCCATCTCTCTTCCTCCTCCTTCCTCCTTGTCTCTTTTGGTGCAAAAGTATTTAAACTGACAGAGGATAGATACTAACACACTTTGGTTTAATGATTGGGTAGAGATTATAGGACTTGCCCATTTTACTTACCTTTCTGGAGTATTTTGGTCAGAACTAAAGTTTTTCAAATAAAGACGCCAATGTAGTGTGTTGCTTGAAATACACACATCTGTATTTTGAAAACCAGTTTAAATGAAGGGGTGACTTCTTTTCTCTGGATCAGACTACACTTTGAATCATTTAATTATAGTAAGAGAAAAATATCAGTATGCCAAGAAAAAATTAATTGTGGCATCTCATCTCTTTATTCCACACGTAATGTAGGGGCTGAGCTGTGCTGACATAATGCCTGCATAGCCTTTCTACAGCTCAGTATCTTACCATTAAATCATCCATTCATCCCTCCTCTGGGTGAATATTAGGAGGTTTCCTTTTCCCCATCATGAGGGCTTTCTTCCCTTGCTGACCATAAGACAGTTTTTGAAGGGGATCTTAGGTTATCTTAGGATTTTGTGAGATGTTATGCTTGTTTAAATGATTCCTTTAATTTTGATGTGTAAAAAGAATGGAGTATAATTGTGAATTCAGGGAAAAATTGTGAAAGATTATGAAACAGGCTAGAAAGATTACCAAATCACCCGTCCAGCACAATTTTCTAAGATTTCTCTGCTATTCATAGTTTTTGAACTATTTTCTAACTTTGTAACTTTTTAAAAAATATATATAAGCCATCCGTTTTCTTCCAGAAAAATGAAAAGTTGTGTCTGGTGAAATGTTATCGATTATTACTCTGTGAATAGACTTGTTTTACCTATACGTCATTTTAAATTCCCCTTTGAAATTAATTCTAACATCTTATTGTTTCTCTCATTAACTAATCATATAAAATGTTTGCTGTGTTCATTTTATTTTGTATGAATTTAGGATTAAACATTTTAATTCATTTTTAATTCATAACATACCCTTTCTTCTCGCCAATTAGCATTCCCTTCTTTATTATCTAGTGAGTAGCAATAATATGCGTGAAAGTCTAAGCACCTTGAGTTATTTTTCATACTAAAGCATGAATATTTCCCAGATGTCCTCTTGACAACATCATCCACCAGGTAAATATTATCATATCACATCTATGCTAGTATCTTCTTTGTCCTATAACTGGTACTTACTGCAGATTCTATATCATTTCTTCCAGCCCATATCCTTGTTCTAGGACAATATGAAGTGCATTTGACACATGTTTGGTTTGACCAATATTATACTCTGTAAAATTGCTGTAAGTCACTTACCAAATAGCACTTTTATAATAGAAGAGGTTTGGCTGCTCTGCATGTATGAGCCACTTTATTACATCCATATAGATAAGATTTCTTAAGGAAATTTGCTTTTGGCAATCTAGCCTCTATAATTCATATAATGAAAAACAGACAATATTAATGAATGTGTCATATGATATTTTGTTAGTTGACTTAAAAATGGGAAAAATAAAAAGGCATAGGATCAAAGTCATTTAAAATTATTAGCCACAGTGGCCAAAAAAAAAAAAAAAAAGTGAGAAAAAGTTACCAGCATGACTACACATAGAAATTTCAAATCCAAGAAAACCTTGAAAGTAAGAGTATTTTACATGGTAGTAGTCTGCTTAATATGTAACAAAGATACCTGCTTTATATTAGAAATAGTGTTTGGTAATCCTTAAGGGATTATTTTTCACCTCAATAGTTTGTTCTGATTATAGACATAACAAGAATATAACTCCAGTTTCCTCTGGCAAAAAAAAAAAAAAAAAAAAAATTTAAATGAGCAAGAGGATTAATTCAGTAAAGACAGATATCAAACCTGCAGACAAGAAAATGGATCAAATTATGGTTAGGAAGATTAAAGAAGTAAAAATCCAGCAGTTGGAATTTATTGTAAAATCAAATACTAAGAAATCATCCAAGAAATAGAAAACTAAAAATAGTCTTCATTATGGGTTAAAAAAGACATGGAGGCTTTCTCTTCTTTGCATTCAGTAGAGACTGAGAAAGCACAACTGCCAGAAAATTGAATGTTGCTTGTGAATGTTTGGAAATAGGATGAAAGCAAATTAGGTAATTACAAAAAACCTTCTTCAATTGGTTTCCCTGCAGACCACAAAATTCAGTTTGTAACTCCTTTTTTTTTCTTGACAAATTTAGGGCTTTTATAAGAGCCATGACAGCAAAAGAAGGAATACTATCAAAAACTCCATTTGAATCTACTTTAATTACTTTTGAATCCAGAAACCATAATTAGAAAGTAATTTACAACCTGGAGTTTGTAAAATCTGTAAACTCTTACAGGGATGGTGAAGACAGAGAAAGCTTCAGATGTAGTGGCCCTCAGAAGCTCATTCGTTCATAATATATCTATATATCTCACCTCCAGCTACCTGCCAGAAACGTTTAAAATTTTCACCATTGGTATGCTACTTATGGCCCTTATTTTTGTGGGTTTGGTGAATATGTGAGGGAAATAAAATAGTTAGGATTGGATAATGTGAATTTCTTTTTCACTCATTGTCACTATTAGAAAACACAGCCCTAATAAAATGTGACATGACAGAATTAGTTTTAATGATGGGAAAATTTGCAAGTTGAAGGGGAGGACATGCAGGCAGGGAAGGACAGTATGCACCAAGGGGGTTAAGAGTGGGTGAATGATAAGAGAGAGTACAGAAAAGTCTGCCTTTCAACCATTTTGTGGTTAATATCCTGCCTAGCACTAATATTATTGAACGGTATGGTATAGTGCTTAAATATCTAAACAAGATGATGAATCTCTCCTACTTGTAGAAATGTAGATGCCTTACCTACTTCTACATATATATGTTCTGAAGCATAATGACATCTGGTACCTTTCCTAATTTTACACTTGTTTTTAAGGGAGGGTTAATCTGATGAAAACATGCAATTGGAAAAAATTCCACTGCTATTTCCACATTTTTAAACTCATGCACATGCACAGCTATCAAGATTAGCATGAGAATAGATATTTGCTCAAAGATCCCTCAACTTTTGATGTCTGGCTTCTCTCTGTTTATCCACCATTATTTTTATAATATTTTATTGTGATTCCATAAACCAGGGACAAATCTCTGAAAGGGGTATTTTTCCAAGACATGGCCATCATTAGAAGACAATAAGCTTGTTTTCATTTCAACATCCTTAGCTTTGTTAAAGGCTCAGTGGAGGAAATTAACATACTGCATGCCTTACAATGAAAATTGTCTCTAATTATTTTGCTTCTCAAATTATTCCACCAGGCATTGATTGGACTTTTAAAATTCATTCCATATCTGTTACCCTCAGATAACAGTTATAATTTTTTATTGTTGTTAAAGAGAATCTATTAATTGCAATATGATTATTCTACTAAATAAAATTAAATAAAATTACTTGGGTAGCCAGTATATTCAAGTAATCATTAATTTTGGTCAGAAATTAAAAGTAAGGTATGCTAAATACAAAAATATATAAACTTGGCACTCAAAGACTAATCATCTGCACATTTTGGGCAAAATAAAATTTAATTTAGAAAAATCCAGGAAAATGTATGTGTTAATTATACTATCAAGGGCGTAGTAGTCGGCAGAATTTTCTTTGGTCTCCTCAAAGATGTCCATGTCTTAATCCCAATAACCTGTGGCTATGTGGTCCCACACAGCAAAGGGACTTTGCAGGTGTGATTAGTGTTAAGGACTTTAAGATGGAGAAAGCATCCTGGATTATGCCAGTGGCTCCAATCTAATCACACGAGTCTTTAAAAGCAGAGAATGTTTCCCAGCTGTGCTCAGAGGAAGACGTGATGGAGAAAGACATTAGAGTGATAAACATTGCTGGTTTTCAAGATATAGGAAGGGGGCCACAACCCATGGCATGCAGGTGGTTTCTAGCACCTAGAAAAAGCAAGTGAAAAGACTCTCCCCTGGAGCCCCCAGAAATAACGCAACCCTGCCTATATCTGCCAGGCGAGCCATTTGTCAAACTTCGAGGAAACCTGTGAGATAATGAATACCTGTGTGTGCTTTAACCACCAATTTGTGCTAATTTGTCATGGCAGTGTTAGAACACTAAAACAAGGCATGCAAGACGTTATCTGTCATCATTTATATTAACAAAAGCTCTGAAAATAGCTATATTTTACCTATGTCTTTCCCCCTCCCCCAGTCATAACCCTCTAGAGATTTAATAGAATTAAACATTGGCAGATTATTAAGGGAGAAGCTATAGACCCTGTCTTGGGTTGTTGCCTATAGATATTTACAAGCTGCAGAAAACCGCTGCCTTAAATTCCTACTTTACACGAATAAAGCATGAGATTCAGTAAAATAATTGAATTTTTGGCATTTTATAGAGAGATATCTATCTCTTTTTAAGCTTTGAAAAATCTTCTATATGTTTCACAGGGTTGCGTTTTTTGAATTATAACTGTGTATGGTCATTAACACTCCAGAAACCAAAAGGTTCATTTTAATTGAAAAAATTGGATTCCTATATCTTGCAAATTAATTGAAGTTCCTCTATGCTTGAAAATATGTCAAAAGTATTATGTAGCTTTCCCACAGTTTAATCTACCTTCCAGAAGAATTTAAATTAATATAAAGATAAAAAGTAACACAGCAGTGGAGTTTAAAGAGCTTTCAGATTTTCTCAGAAGACTGTTACTTTGAAAACCTATGAAATAGACTTTACCCAATTTATATCTAGATTTAAAAACTAAACAAAATACTGGTAGTGTTCAGATTCTTTTATGCTTTGCACAAAGGAGTAAAAATAAGCAACATCAATGGAGCATATAATATATATCAGATTTGGCACATGTAATGGTTTTAATCTTATCACCAACCCAGCCAGATAAGTATTAGCTTTTATTATTATTATTATTATTTTTACAGATGAGGAAATTGAGGTTCACATTTTGTTACAGCTGGTGCAGTCATACAGCTGGTAAGTGGCTGGCAGAAGAATTCATTCCAGATTGAACTGGCTCCGAAGCCTTTGCTTTTTAAAATCTCCAACCTAGTGCCTCTTCCTTTCAACTGCAAAATAAGCAAAAAGATAATCCTATGTCTACAGAATGCTAAACAAATTTCCCGTGAACAAACAATTAATATAGGCAAATAGAGGTGTGTTTTTAGGGGGTTCTAACAGTGGAACTCTACTTGCCGGACAAAGATTAAAGGTGCACACAAACTCTTTGATCCTCTTCCCAGGAGGAGGTGAGGCCAGTGACTCCTCCCCTTGCACATGGGTGATCCTTGGACATGTTCTGCTTAGACTGACAGAATACGGCAGAAGTGAGGCTGTACCCGGAATGTATCCAGGCTCCTGATTCTGACAGCTTCTACTTCCTGTCTCTTGGAGCATTCGCTGTGGGAGTCCAGAGCTGCCATGCAAATGTTTGAGTGCATTGAGGCTGCCATGCTTAAAAAATCCCAAACTAACCATATGAAGAGGCCACAGAGAGAATCAGCAACTGTCAGCTTTTCTAGACTTTTGGGTTCTCACAGCTAAAGCACAGGCATTGTGAGTAGAGATGAGCCTTCCTGATAGGTCCTTCTCAAATCCCTGCCCCAAAGAATCATAACATATAATAGTAAACTCTTACTGTAAGCCACTAAGTTGGGTGGAGTTTGTTATTCAGCAAAAGATAATCAGAACACTGCCCCATACAATAGTTGATAAACTTGTTCTTTGTTAATCATTATATGTAGTGACTACTCACACACAAATGATTTACTTCATTCTACTTTCTGGTTTTCCAGTAAATTTTAAGAAATGGAAATGTTGTCTATGGAAATCTTACTTAAGGTCAGCATTGTTGTTCCAATTTCTTTGTAAATGCTAAAATAGTAAATAATTGTTAGTCATTCATATTTAAAGAAATTCGATTATTTTGTTAATGTCTTAATGCCCTGCATATAGACATTCAAGACTAGTTATATGACTTGTTCAGGTTTTTATATTTTAAAAATAACTTGCCATTCCAATAATGCCAATTTTTAGGCTACAAATTTGACTTATGATAGCATCATATGACAATGTTGACTGTGAGAAAAGAAACATAACTCTAGAAGTACACTGTCCAATATGGTGGCCCCTAGCAAATGTATGGCTATTTAATTAAAATTGATGCTTTAGTTCCTATGTGACACTAGCTATATTTCAAGTACTCATTAGCTACACACACTTAGCTACCATATTGGATGGCACAGACATAGACCATTTCCATTACTGCAAACAGTTCTACTTGACAGTCTTTCTTTGGAATTAATCCAGGTTTGGATGTATCTAGAAAAGTAAGATGCTAAATCTCAGTGTCATACTCTGCTTATTGCTCAGATAATAGGCTTGTTTATATGTATAGTTGATCTGGAGAACTTTAAAAGCATCTAGTTCCTACAGACTATGTTACTGAACTTTGAAATTGTACAGCAGGAACTTCAATTCTAGTGGTGACCTCTCATTCATCCACTGAGTTAAAACCATTCCTAAGATTCATTTACCCATTCAGAAAATATTTTCTCAGACCCATTATTTACCAAGTGCTATTGTAGACACTGAGATACTTTTGTAAGCAAAATGAATAAGGTCTCTGCTCTTATGCATCTTACATTCTACATGGTTGATACAGACAGAAAAAAATCAAACATGTAAAATCATTTCACACAGTACTAAGTTCTATGAAGAATATATTTGAAAAGGGGCTTGGATGGGTGAGGTTGATGTTCACGTAGCCAGAAAAAGTTTACTTGAGAATGAGCTAGTCATACAAAAAAAAAAAAAAAATCAAATATTTATTTGTTCCACAAATATTTATTTAACACCTATTATGACCTGGCTAATATAGTAGGTTGCCAGTGTAGGGTTTTATTAACACAATTAAAACACAATAAAATATGTTAGATATTCAAAGGCCCACTCTCACATAATGAATTAGAATCTCAATGATGTGCTCCAGAAATTGGTATACTTAAAAATCATCAAAAGTAACATTTAGGTACTTTTGGAGTACCAGAATGGTGACGATGCCTCAGTACTACTTTGAACTCAATCCATGATGAGAAATAATTAAAAAGAAGCAAATCAAAATCATGACTGGCTGGAAGCAAGATGGCAGACTAGAAAACCTGCCAGCCATAGTGTCTCTACAAGAAAGATAGATCTCAGAAGAAAGTGATTTAAGAAAAAAAAAGGTAGACAAACATAGATCAGGTGAGGGTCAGGAGGAAGAGTGTCTGAAACTATAGGAGTCTCCATGAGAAGAAGTGGCAGAGCAGAACTTGAAGGAGAAAGGCATTGGCAGGGTCTAAACCCCAGGAGGCTTGGAGACCAGTGACAAGGGTAAGTGAAGTGAGTAAATTCTCCTCCCTTGCATCTCAAACTGCTGGTGGGCTCCACAGCTGCTGGAGAGACCTGCCAACACCAGCCCAGAGATGGCTGCCACTAGTGAGCCATGAGCCTCTTATGGACAAGGCACCAGGCTCCCAGCTCTCTTTGGGTACTTCCCGCCCCATAGACTAGAGCCTATATGCAGATGCCATATTGCTTCATTCTTCCCTTCCCCTTCCCTACCCTCAGCTGCCAAGATAGACAATTTATCTACCACCTGGAGGCATCCACAAGGAAGGAGTCCTTTCCTTTTGGAGCCCTGCAGTGGACTGAGGGGCACTCGAACTGTGAGCTCCCTACATGCTGGCCCACCAGCTGCTGCTTATCTGGTGACTCCAGGAGAGTGGGGCAAATCTCGAGGCAGAGAGACATTGATCTAGCTTGGGCACCCTGTGGGTGACTTGAGACCAGCACTCCTCTCCCTGGTAGGGTCAGGGATTGATGTACAGGGCCCAAGGGACATGCCTGCACACCAGATCCCATACATCCAGGTCTCGATCACATTGCCTTGGGACACAGAAGGAATATTTGTGAATTAGTCTACTGAGGTGTTTGTGCCTTCAGGGGCATATCAGAGTGGGTCCTAGCTATGGCTTGTTTGAAATAAGTCAGTTGCAGAGACAAAACAGAGAAAGAAGAGAAAAGAGCAAAGCCTAGAAGAAATGTGGGGTTACATGAAGAGGCCTAACATGAGAATTATAGAGGGTGAAGAGGGAGAATTCCTGAGGGTGAAGAAGAAAGTACATAATGGTTGGATAAACTCTTTGAGAATACAATGGAGGAAAATTTCCCTGGCCTTGCTAAAAATCTAGATATCCAGGTATAAGAAGCTCAAAGGACTCCTGAGAGATTCATTACAAACAGGATGACACCATGACACATAGTCATTCCACTGGCAAAAATAAATATGAAAGAGGATTCCTATGATGTGTAAGGCAAAATATGCAGGAAACCAGTGTAAAGTCATCTGAAAGCTAAAGGTCAAAGGCCAGATACCACAATGGTTCAAAAGAGAAAACAAAGCAACAAAGTTCAACTCAACAGAATGAATAGAAAGCTGCCCCACTTATCAATTCTTTCAATAAATGTGAATGGCTTGAACCACCCACTAAAGAGACATAGGCTTGCCAAATGGATTAATATCCACAAGCCAAGTATCTGCTGTCTTCAGGAAATACATCTACCCCACAACAATACATTCAGACTCAAGGTGAAGGGATGGAAAAAATATTTCATGCAAATGGAAGCCAAAAGAAAGCTGGTATAGCAGTTCTGATTTCAGATAACTTAGTTATCTGAAATAAACAGATATCTTCAAATAAAAAAAGTAATGAAAGACAAAGATAGTCACTATATAATGGTGAAGGGTACAATTAAATAAGAAGATAAACAATTCTAAATGTTTATGTACATAACTCAGGTGCACCCAGATTTATAAAGCAAATCCTACTTGATTTTTTAAAAAATGATAAACAGCAATACCATAATAGCTGGAGACTTCAACACCTCTCTGACTGAACAGGACAGATGCTCCAAACAGAAAATAAACAAAATACAATGGACTTAAACAGAACTCTGGAACAAATGGGCCTGCCTGCTATTTACAGAACATACTACTCCAAAACCACAGAATGAATATACATTTTTCTCATCAGCTCATGGGACATTCTCTAAGGTTGACCATATTATAGGCAACAAAGCATTTCTCAATACATTAAAAAAAAGTAGAAATTATACATCTTCTCAGAACACAGTGGAATAAAATTAGAAATTAGCACCAAAAGAGACTCTCATCTCTACATAAAGTCATGGAAACTAAATAAGCTTCTGCTGAAGGATTATTAGGTTAAAGAAGAAATTAAGATAGAAATCAAAAGATTCTTTGAATTCAATGATAAAGGAGACAGAAGTTATCAAAATCTGTGAGACACAGCTAAAGCAGTCCTTAATGGAAAATTCATATCCATAAATATCTACATCAAAAAACAGAACAATCACAAAATGACAGTCTAATGAATGATATCAAAGAACTGGAAAGGGATGAGCAAACCTATCTCAAACCCAGCAGAATAAAAGAAATAACAAAGATCAGAGCAGAACCAAGTGAAATCAATAACAACAGCAACCAAAAAAAAAAAAAAACTATATGGAAGATTAATAAAACAAAATGTTGGTTCTTTGAAAAAAAAAAATTGACATACCTCTTGCTAGATTAACAAGAAGCAGGAAAGAAAGGACTCTAATAAGCTCCATCAGGAATGAAAAAGGAGAAATTACAGGTGATACCATGGTAATACAAAATGTTATCTATGCATACTATAAAA